ATAATAATAATAATAATAATAATAATAATAATAATAATAATAATAATTGGCTGCAGCAAAATTGATTGTCGAGGTGCCAAAATCATACATTGGAAGCTTTGCCAGAAGTTTGGGTTTGAATGCAGCAAAAATTAATGGAAATATCAAATTGACAAAATTCTTGAAAATGAGCAAGTCCCCGTGGGACTTTTGATCAAAACAGACAGACATCTGGCCCACAACATGCCTGACACCACTACTGTGGGGGGGGGGAAGTCTGGTTCATTGATATTGCAATACGAAGTGATGCGTGAATTGAAGACAAACAGCTAGACAAAAATAATAAAATATCGTGATTTGCAAATTGAAATTGAGCAACTATGGAGGAAGAAATCAATGGTTGTACCTATAGTAATAGGAGCCCTTGGAGCAATACCCAAAGGGTCAGCTAAATACATGGAAATTGGACCTGAATATCCTGAATAACTACCTATATAGTCAGACATTACCTTAACAGCACTTGGTTACTAGTTAGGACTTCAACTGTTAAGTTTTTACCAGTCCCAGACTGTGAATCGAATTGGAGATTAAATCTTAAGTCAAGGGTATTCAAACTTGGCAAGTTTAAGACTTGTAGACCTCAACTGCCAGAATTTCTGAGCTAACATGACTGGAGGAGGAAGTCCACAAGTCTTAAAGCTGTCAAGTTTGAAGACCCCTATCTTAAATAACAAATAATAATCCTATCTCAGATCCTTGGAAAGGATTTGACAAGTAGATAAAAATGCCAAATGCAATCAAAACATCTGGTTAACTATGTGACAAACTTTAATACGCTGTTAAGTCAGGGGTGACTTTAAGAAACCATATAATCTTTTGAGAAGCATATGCTAGTATTACTACAAAACATTCATCTTTAAAATGGTAAAACCATCCAGGTAAATATGGCTATAATGTGTTGTGTATCAGTGAACTGAAACATTAAATAAAAATTTCAGTGATATCAATAATATTTGGCATGTTATCTTAATTTTTTAAAAGAAAAAAACCTTGGTATATACAGTAAACAAGTAGAAGAATCATTCATATCATCATATTACTGAAGACTGCAACACAGAGATTGGGCTAGAAAGATACAACCTAGATCACTGAATGTATTTACCAAGAGCTTTACACATACTATGAGAGTACAGATTCTGACCAGTTATGTTTTAATTTATGTCTTTGTTTCAATTCCGGAGATTTTCAGAGGACACCTTCTGTCTTATTTTTTTATTTTTAAAGATAGGTAATTTAGATTAGTGGGAGAAGACAACCTGAATATTGCTAGAGTGCAATTTCTATAATCTGTTATTTGCTATGCTGGTAAGAATTATGACATTTAAGGTATCAGAAAGTGAACCAATTATTGCTGTCCCTAATATAAACCAGGTAAAACCAGGTAAGGACAAGCCCTGCCAATTCTATAATGGCAACCTTTGATTTTATTTTTGATTGTATCTGACAATTATATCTTTCTATATTATGCACTATAAAGAGATTGCAAGTTCTCTGTTTTCTAGAAAAGTCATTTCTGTGCAGAAAATCTATTATCATATAATATCATCCCTCTAAGAGCTCTTGACCAAAACCTAGGTTCTCAGACTCTGTAAAATGGTGCTATTCTTTTAGGATTTGAAAATATTCCTTTATTAGATAATTAATTTCATTCACTATATCTAGAAATTTCACTCATTAGCTAATTTGCTTCTTATAAGCACCGTCTATGTTCTCAAGCTTTAGTCTTTCTACCATTTCTCCAGTAATATCAACATGCAGACAAAAAAACAGGCAAATTTTAATTTTATGTTAATGATTCAGTCATAATAAATGCTCCCTAACAACAATGCCATTTTGCAACATATAATTCTCAGTTTAATAGACATACTACTAATTACTTGCATTCACCCATTTTGGGGAAAAAAGCATGGAAACTCCAGCACATTGATTGGGTTGAAAGCTTGTATAATACTTGTACATACACACACCACAAAACAATGTCACTAAACATATTTTGGAAAATGTGAGCTGAAAAGGATTTTTTTTTTCCAAAAAAAAAAAAAACCACCCAAAAGAAAAGGCAAATGTAAAAGAAGTCTCTAAATATGATCCACTTGTTTTTATTTTACAAATTAAACTACCAAATTCTTCGAGATTCTTTTTTTGCATGACACATTTCATTTTTGTGATTCAACCAATTAACTCCTTGCCCTTATTCCATTTTTAATTCATCTTTCCTGTATGCAGATGACTGTAACTGAAAACTATGGATTACTTTCTCCAATAACCTAATAAGTACTTAAGAAGACAAAAATGCATTCTTTTGAGCTATCTGAAGATTTACTCCCTAGAATTATTTCTCCCATTACATTTTTTGCATTTTTTTTCTTTCTTTCCAGTTTTTTCCAATTATTTACATATATTACTGAATTTCACAGTTTTTTAACAGAACCACTGCACTACTCAGTTTTTATAATACATAGAATTCAATGTTTGAGCTATAGCATTTCTCTGTAGTCAAATCATTCTTAGTCAATTGCAAGAAACTTGTTTCTCAGAGATCCCTACAGTATTGTACGAAGACAGCTATATTAGTCTATAATAGCCAAAAATTAAGAGTAGTGTGGCAGCAACTTTTCAGACTAATATGTTTATTAAAAGGCATAAGCTTTTCTGAACTATAGCTCACTTCATCATGCATGCACATGGAGTGGCTAAACAGATGCAGGATTTAAATCAGGATGAGGCAGTGAATGAAAGGTAGCCATCCTGTCTTCTTCTATCTTTTCCTATTGCCTCAACCTAATTTAAATCCTACATCAGTTTAGCCATTCCAAGCATCTAATGAAGTCACTAAAGGTCTTACAGAGATCTTCTGATTTAGAGCATTGGTAACCAAAGGAAAGGGTCTTACTGTGCTGAGCTTCATATTGAGTACCATGGTGCTGTAATTGTTGGCTACGCCTGTAGCAGCCTTCACCTGCTTTCAGGGCCTGTTTAAACAGTTTTTCTGCTTCCACGATAGTTGTTGCTTCCTCTTCTGCCAAGAGAATATAAGCAGTGGCACACCTGTCAATGAAATGACAAAGTAATCATCACAAAGAGAGCTAGAAAAATAATAAACATTTTTTTTTTAGGACACAGCAGGTGGATAAGTGGCTGGGGCATGCTTAATTCCTTTAAAATTAAGTAAAATTAAGTAAAATGTACGCCTCAATCCAGCAACTGGCTGCAGGCATGGAAAGTCTGCAACTCATTTTCAGACCTATAAACAACCTTATTCACTTCAACGGAGTACAACTGTGCATGTGCACAATTCTGCAAGTCCAAAGCTATCCAATCCTTGAAACTATGGATGTGGGCAGTAAACTACCATTTAAAATTCTGGTTGCAGTTGGATAGAACTGTGCAAATGCCAAATTCCGTATGTTTCAACTAGTGACATGACTGGTTTTGTTTCGAACCTTAGTGTATACAGCAATGGCTGAATAAATAAAATCGAAGGAACAACTAAGATAGAAAGCCCAACAGGCAAACAAAGACCAATGTAAATGGATATGGAAAAAAGGTGAATGGGGCATTCAAGTACAGTAAGATTTATACATCATGTCTGAAATAAGTAGATGGCAATACATCACAGAAATACCATCTCTTAAATGCTCAGAAAATACATCAATCCATGTCTATCATTATTAGTATGAAAGAAATATTTCTCCTGCATCAACTCCAACTCATCCTCTTCTTAATTAAAAAAAGAAAGAAAATATCATGCAAATACAGCTTCAACAAATATACAGGTATAGATTCATTGCTCAAGTGCTAATTGAACAGACAAAGAGTACTTTTTCACAGTTTCCTCAGTTTGTACAAGACTTTCCCGATGACAAGAAACTGGCACAAGATTATAGCAAAGCAAATAAATAAATAAATAACAAACGAATTCTCGTACACTTACTCATTTAACTCTAAAGCTTCATGTGCTGCAGAAATTCTGGCTTGTGGGTTTCTTTCTCTCCAAGCCTTTTGCATTACTAGGAAATGAAACATTTTTTAAAAATGCAGTAATTTGGAGCTTATCTAGATTAACATATTAGCAGGGCATTTCACCACACGAATAATTCACTAAGTCCAAAAATATAATCAGGTACTGATGATAGAAGAGATACTCTTTCAATATGTTTCAAGAAGAATGAACTTACAATTATTAGTTAAAGTTAGCAATGCATTATGTACAAATGTGCTAACAATATTTTACTATAAAACAGCTATATAAACTATTAATGTAATTAAGTGGAACCTGAACAACCAATAAAACGCTGGTCCTTTGGTGCTTTAGCAACCATGTAAGGCATTTTTGACTATTCTGGGGGGGAAAAACCTGCTCTCTTTAAACAATAACACGAAGTTTCCAGAACCAATGATGATAACACAACACAACAATGAGTGCTATTCTATAGCAAAGTTTCAGGGGAAACAGTATTTGGAAATACAGATAGCCACATAATTCAAATTCCAAATCACCGTATCAGGAAATACTATATAAATATATTAATAAAAATGATTAAGTGAAATACAAGCATTATTAAGAATCAAGATACTTGTGATATCTTTTATCCCCAATTTCTTAAAGCAGGCTTTACAATTTGCTATGAATTTGAATAAATTTACTAAAATTCTTACTGGCATCTGCAGGCCTTAAATGGTCAGTATCACATGTGAAAAATGTTTGATGATCTTGGGCGGAAAGATTCATATCGTAATAGGTCAATGGTTCTCTTCCAGTCACCCAGGTGTATCTGCAAATAGAGTTGCGTTTTGTGCATTCAGGACAGATGTGCAGGATGAGAAATGGTAGAAATAAACATCATACATTCATAATGTGGTGATTTTCCTTATGCTGCTTTTTCTTTTGGATAAAAATGTATCCACACACATCCTTCATCCTTCTTAATACAGTAACCTCCATCTACAAATCCAACCAGGGTACTAAAAATAATTTTGTAAATAACGTCCATTGCTTTAAGTTGAGGAAAAATTGGAAAGTTAATCAAGTATTGTCCCGTGGTGTTATAGTTGATATATACTGGCACATTTATTAAACTGAACTTAAAATAATCTTGAAAGCTGGCTGGATTGGTTTAAAATAGTCCTGGATGTACTGTATGTCAGTTCTACAATATCTGTTTTGATTATCTTAAGAAAGCTACTCTATACATCACTATATGATTTTCAGCTTCTCCCCTTTATCTTGAGGCTTCTGATTTGGGAGGAGATGGAGCCAAGAGGGCTCAGTGCTTGAAGTACTCAAACTCAAATTCCCATTCAATCACAAAGCTCATTGGTGACTTTGAGCTTAGCCTTAGTCTGACCTAGCTTATAGAGTTGTTACAGTGAGTATTAAAATGATAGATAACTCTGTAAATTGCATTGGGTGCTTAAGAAAAACTACAATATAAATGTAGAAAAAATAAAAGCATTGTCGTTAGTGAGATTTTTGATCTAGATTAATAGAGGTACTAAAAGAAATTTACACATTAACACTGCTTGAATGAAATGGTAGTCTAATTCAGGCATTCATCATCCTTAAGTTTAAAACTATCTGGAAGACTAACCTCAACAGATTTGTGTACTTCAGCACTGTTATTCTTGATATGTTGAAGTAGAAATGTCTGCAGGGGAATGTGCCTTCTTGTCCTATATATTTTTTAAAACTTAAATCTAAACTATGCAGGGTACTTGTATCTATGCAGGGTAACATCAAATGTTCGTCCACCAACATAAGGACAAAGTAAAAGAGACTGGATCCAAAGACCATTTATCCTTATTTGAACTATTTGCATATGATAAACAACTGAAAGAGGCACCTGACTTCTTGAAGTTTACAATGACAATGAGGTAATGCTTACAATACTTACTAAATATACTAGCAGATGTAACCAGTGTTTAAAAATACTTTCCAAACATGCTAACATATTTGAATAATAAATCTACATAGCACTCACCGGTTATATTCAGCTCCTCTAAACAGATTTAGGGGATTTCGCCAGACTTTACATTCTGTCACAAAAACAAAAATGCCTCTAATTATAACTGAATGATAATATTTATTTGGAAACAAATTATATTCTAATTAGTTATCCCAGGTAGTACAGTCGAAACACTTTTATGTATTTACTATAGATTGGGCAATTTAAGGGCTGACACTTAACACGTTATATTTAATAAGAATTATAACCACTTCTTTGATTTCATGAATTATTGGTATATACAGGAACAAATGAAGATGAATGCTATCCAATACTGTAAAATTATTACTACATCAAAACTCATTGAGTAAAATACACCCTTTCAATAAATATTTGTTTAAAAAGCAAGCAGAATATATTTCAGAACGATTCCCATGTTTTAGATGAAAATAAAAAGGTGATTTGTAAATAAAACATTGCATAGATAATGTCCCTGGGTATGGCTGGAATAAAGTAATTGAATGAAAAGAATTGTCTTTTGAAAGGTGTTTTCAGTGACAACTTTTATATTGTAAATTATTTCATTCTAGATTAGCCATTTGCCAACTGTGGTCCATTGCCACAATTCATCCTGTAGGCATTAACAGCAAGCAGCAAGTAGATTCACACGTGAGGTTAAAATCAGAATTGTTGAGGTATTTTCTCTAGTCCCTGTGGGCCTACTTCAGCAAAGTTACACCAACTAGTTTACAGTACAGATCAGTAGAATAATACAGTAGTCAGCTTTTTAAAATCTCCCTCTGCTGTTACATAATAAATAAAATAAGACACCAGGTCCAGATTATTTATTTATTTGTATTTTTATGAATAAATCAAGGCAGCAAAGATAGCCAACAAATCTTCCTCAACCTATTTTCCCCACAAAACCACCCTATGCTGTGGATTGGGCTGAGAGAGAATGACTGGTCCAAAGACATCTAGACAGATTTCATCACTAAGACAGAACTTGAACTCACACTCTCTGGATTTCTAGTTAGATCAAACTGACTCTGTTAAATAATGTCACATTGACAAGAAAATAGAGAAATAAAGGCAGAGAAGGCCATATGATCTGGGAGCCAATTTGGAGATTCCAGTCCTCCATTTATCAAAATGGTTCCCTAGTTTTGTTTTTTTTCTGACACAGTGAACAGTAAAGCTATGCAAGGAAGTGGAAAATATATAAAATACTCCTTAGAATCCAGCTAGATACCTAGGGAGTACAGAGAAATATAGTTTCCATGGGAATAACTATGGCAGTGGTTTGCCATTTCCAGGATAAAAATAAAACAATTTTTAAAACTTTCTGGCAGAGTCTGCAATCCTGGGATTATCTTGTGATCTCTCATCAAGGCTGATTAGTATTTGCAGAAGTGAATAAATCAGTTATCAGGAAAAAAAACTAAGGTTTCCCAAATATATCAAACTTTATAAATGATTAAAAAAAATAAGCGGTGATTTGCCCAATCTGCAGAAAGGACTTTTAATATAAAAGTCATTTAAATTAATTATTCATAATTTTGTACATTGTAATTACATTGTGATTATGATTAAATTGTAATTATTTTTACCTGAAACGCTCTGTCTGTTTGAATCTGAGTCCCCATTGGTTGCGTTTGAGTTACTGGGAGAAGTGTTGTCCACCCCACCCAGCAGAGGGCGCAAGTGACTCACAGAGACTTGCTCGATGAAGGACGTTCCATACTTCCGAAAATACCACCATTCAAATATCTAAATCAGATGGGAAAACATGTCATTGTTCGGCTTTTTAAGCTATTTCTACTGCCACTCACATTTACAGAATGTAAACTTAATATTGAAGCATATTTTGGGATAAAATATTTGTTATAATTTATACAGTTCTATGTGGTATATTAGATTTCCTATATAAAACAGAAGAATGGGTGGAAACATGACAAGGAATGTGGACAAATGAAATAATAGATATTCTAAAATTTAAATGGGAAGCACTGAAGGGAATAGTAAATGATCATAAGAAAGATGTATCTTTTGGGTAGAATTTGAATTCAACACAGGGGGAAGGAGACTAAAAAAGAAATCTAACAAGCTATGGATTATTGGGTAGTTCCAAATAAGTCAAATAGTTTAAATGGCTATTTTATTTCTATAGTTCTGTGATTCATCCACGCTAATTCTATTTCATTTTATATAATACCAGGGAAAAGCTTCATATATATAAACCTACAACCAACAGTGATCCAGTGATACATATAAACCTACAACCAACAGTGTCCAACAGCAAGAACCAACAATATGAGATGTTCCACAGATAGGAAAAAAGAGGATTAAGCCAACCTTGAATGTATTGGATACGTTCCAACTGATGGGAAATCTAGGACAGGACCTCTATTCTACATCTCCTGACTGGAATGTAAGATCCTAAGTCCATGATGGTGAACCTATGGCACAGCGCCATTTGTGCTGGCACGCGAGCCACAGGCAAACTGATCACACTGCGCATGCGCGTGCCTCCCAGCTGATTTTTGGCCTGTTTGCGGCCTTTTTCAGTCTCCCAGAGGCTTGAGGGAAGCCTTTGCAGGCCAAAAAATAGGTCCGTTTCGTCACTTCCGGTATTTCCAGAAATACCGGAAGTGACGAAATGGGTCCATTTTTCGGCCTGCAAAGGCTTCAAGCCTCTGGGAGGCCAATAAAGGCCTCAAACGGGGCTGAAAATCAGCTGGCGCAGTGTAGGTAAGGGGGCAGTGGGGGCGCAGGGGGGACACGTGCATGCTCAGAGGGTGTGGGGGGTGCATGCATTGTTTTCTGGGTGCTGGCACGCAAGCATGAGAGCATGAGCGCGGGCACAAGTTTTGGCACAGGAGCCCAAAAAGGTTAGCCGCCACTGTCCTAGACTTTTCCCTCTCTTAGGCTGATGCAGTAGAAGTAGGGGAATTATTCTCACTCACACACACTTATTACTGCACTTATAAAAGCCCTTCAAGCAATGTGATGATTTTAGAGTGGAGACTTAGAGGTGGAGATATAGTAACAAATAGAGGATAGCTGTTAAGCAAATTCATAGAAGCTTCAATACAGAATTTCCAAGAACTTGTACTCAATATGACAAGGATGAAAGGGTATTTTTCAGTTAGTCTTAATAATTTCATAAAAGTTGCCATTATTTAAAAGACTGGTGCACTGATTTTTTTTAAAGTGACAATGAATCATTTATTTTTTATAACACATTTGCAACAGGTAATATCAGTTTTTGTGAAGACCTATGGGTGCCGACCAGAAGCCGGCATACATACAATAACAAATCTTAGGTCGCAGCTAAACAGAACAACTGTGTCGTGCCAAAAAGGAAACCTAGAGATGATACAGTCAGTGGTTTCATTGAAAATTATGATGAATCTGCATATAGACGGCAAGTTGAACAACTGGCCCTGTGGTCCAGCTGGAACAATCTTGAACTGAGCACATTCAAAACTGTAGAGATGAAGGTAGATTTTAGGAGAGGTTCTCCTATTCTACCATCTCTTAACATACTAGACAATAGTATCAACAGTAGAGACTTTCAAGTTTCTGGGTTCTGTAATAACTCAGGACTTGAAATGGACACCTAACATCAAAAAGTCATCAAAGAAGGCTGTCCGGTTTGAAGTCTCTTTGGTGACAGACAGAAATCCGTGATCGTGCACAGTTTCGGTCTGGGCTTGCCGCTGGAGCGCCCCGAGCCTGCTGGTTTTGGGGCTAAGCCACCCCGTAGAGGTGGTGAAGAGCGGGGAGACCGCCAGCAGGGTTGAGGAGAGCCGCATCTCTCCTTCTCAGCTGGCCATTACTCCCTTTCCTGAAGGCGGTTGCAGCAGTGATCAGAAATGGCCACCACAAAGAAGAACTCGACCGGAAAAGAATGTGCAGGAGAAAGATAAGAAGTGAAAGTTTTGGCTGACCAGGTTAAATTGTAAAAGCAAGAACTAAGGTACCCTGGAATTTAAACTTACAAAAAAAATAACATCGCTCCCAAAGAAGAGTCGGAAGCAGTGAAGGAAAGTGAAAAGGGAAAGGTTTGGGGTTTTTTTCTTCTCTCCCTTTCCCTATACTGACAACTAAGAGACTTGAATAAGAAATCAGAAAAATCCGCTTTGACATCAACAGGCAATTAAGCTGAAAATAAAACAAAATGTCAAAGGGATAATAAAGATTTCTGGACACTAATTTTTTTTTTTTTCATAAGCAGGAAGGGAGAGAAAAAGAATAAGGGCAGGATCTGGAAGAGGGAGGAGACTGCCTGGAATTAAAAAGAATCTACAGTAAAACTTCAACAAGACTTCTAAAAGATACATTTTAACTGAAACTTTGTAACTAAACAGTAACCCCAGGAAGAGAAAGTGAAAAAAAGGAGCAAAAAGAAACAGCTTGCGTGTATTTGGATTATTTGGTGATCTTTGGATTCTTGGTTATTACATTTGAATGACTAAAATCAATCGGGTGGTTGTTTAAAAATTTATACAATGGCACCACTTCTGGATGAATTGAAAATGGAACTTAAAAAGTACAAAGAAGATGTACAAGAAGAGAAGGGTTCTTTTGGCTTCGTTTTTCAATTCTTAGAAATGGAGATTTGGAACTATGAGAAACAACAAGAAACGACTGCAAAACAAGAAGACTGGGACAAAGAAGAAGCCATCTTTAATGAACAAGCAATTTTATGTGGGGAAGAAAAAGGAAAGTGGGGAAAGAGAATGGAGAATTTAAGACTTAAAAAAACAACCAAAGAAAAGAAAAACATTTCGAAAAATAAGTATAATACTGGAAAACAACAGAAAAGGGGAATACAGAAGAGAGAAATAGAGGTAGAGAGACAAGGGGGTAAAAAGGGGAGAGAGAAGAAGAGAGGGAAGAAGGAAAGGAAAAGAAGTTACAAAGGACCGGAGCAAGATATAGAGAAACAGGGCCTATTTAGAGATAATGGTGAAAATCTAACTGAAAAAGGGATTCTGTAAAGGAACATAAGATTGTATTGTTATATTAGTAATAGAAATAACTTTAGAAAATTGGAAACAATGTATAATTAAAATGAGGGATAAAATAGTTAGTGTAATTTAGTGAAATGTTTGTTAATAAAATAAGTGAAATAAAATAAATGAGAAAATTGAATTAGGAAGGAACGGGAACATTTTAATTAGTTAATGTTTTATAAAATATAAGTGAAGGGGGGGGGAATTAATTATGGAAAGCTTATAATTGTTCCCATAGAAGTATGCTATTTAATTGAAAAGTAATGTTAAAGAAGTTAAGATTTTAATGAATATTAATATTAATGATAGAATTGAATTGGAATGGAATGTGTTGTTTTAATTACATACATTTATAATTTTTTCTTTTTTTAAGAATATAGTGTGTATTTTAAGAATGTACCAAGCAGAATCCGAATGGAAGTTATGTATTATATTGAATGTTATAACTTTAGGGTATATATTGAAGCCTAAATAAGAGTTAAATGGATAAACTTAAAAGATATAAAGGCATCATACTCCAATCAGTAACTACAGGAGAAATTTTGTTTAATGAGAAAAGATAATAGATAATTGAAACAGGACAGACAAAAAATATAATGATTTGAATTGAGATGAGATAATTAAAATAAAATTGAGAAAATTAAAAGAGGGGAGAAGCTATGCAGAAAAAGTAAAGCAGTAATAAGATATGGAATAGAACATAAAAATGAGCATAAAGTTGAATTTGTGTCTGTACGAAGAAATGTAACCCGGGATTACGCTACTTTCAAAAAATATGTTTGTATTTTTTTTTTCTTTGTGAAAACTCAAATAAAATTTACAAAAAAAAAAGTCATCAAAGAAGGACAACAAAGAATGTTCCTCCTGCACCAACTCAGGAAGCTTAGACTGCCCAAGGAGCTACTGATAAAGTTCTACAGAGAATTATTGTATCTGCCATTTGTTGCAACCAGCCTGCCTTCTACTGAGGACCACCTGTACACTGCAGAAGCCAGAAAGAGGGCTCTGAAAATATCTACAGATTCCTCACATCCTGGACATAAACTTTTTCAACTTCTTCCCTCAAGACAACACTATTGGGCATTGCAACTAGACACAAGGGCAATTTTTCCCCATGCCATCGTTCAACTAATTTCTACAGCACATGCCCTAGGATGTCAAACCATGTAGTAGGACTGTATTACTATTAACCTTCTCATCTCTTGTATTCCCTATTCCTTTAGCATCTTATGACTATAACTTTGTTGTTTGTATCATATGATTTATGTTGATTGATTTTATTTAGTATCCTATTATGATTTATGATTGCTTATTGAGTATCCTATGACTACCACTGAGTATTTATGTTATGATTTATGATGATTGTATTTATGATTATGATCATGATTTATCAATTCGTGCTTGCATGTACACTGAGAGCTTATGCACTGAGAAGTTCCTTGTGTGTTTAATCACACTTGGCCAATAAAGAATTCTAAATTCTAAATGGAGAAGTGATGGAATTAATCACCTGCATTCTTGGACCTGATGTATTGTTCTCTGTGTAAACGAGCTTTCTTCTATTTTAGGGCTGTCAAACTCCCAGCCCTGTGGGCCAGATGCGTCACGTGCTGGCCACACCCACACCCAGTTTAGCAAAGGGGAAAAAAGTCCTGATATATCACGTGACGACCACGTGATGTGAGTTTGACACCGTTGTTCTATTTGATGAACACCCAGTTCTGCATCCTGCAGAAGTAGGATATTAAT